AAGAGTGAGGAAAAAAAAGATTCAAACAGATAGAAAAGGGTGTGAGCCAGAGCAAGAAAAGAGTAAAGAAAGGCCACAAGTTTCTATACATCCTTTTAAGAATGCTAAAATATATTCTCCTCTCCGACATGTGAAAGAACAAGCCGTGATTACTGTCTTTGGATATATTTTCAGGTTTTCTATTGTGACAGCTAAATGCTAGTTACCATATCCTTGTAAGCCCAACCATTCAAACTGATTATGCTTGGTACAGTTAATGGGATTTGACCCTCTGCAAGAATGCTTTGATATTTACTTAATTGATGGAAAATTCACTTCTGTTTATTGTTTTGACATTGCTTAGAGGGAGGGTTGAGAAGAACCCAGAACATAAAAGATGGAGCAAAGAGGTATCTATATGCTTTTAGGTTAGTTCTGCCTGATTCTAGTCAATTCTTTACAAGGTTTCTTTTATTTCTGCTTCTTAAGGTTACTTGATGATTGTTGTTTAAGGGAAGGATTTTCAGGGACCAGGCAGATTTCCATACCATTATATTTTTTTTTTAAGCATGGACTATCAAGAAGCTTTTTGAAGGATGGAAAAGAACTAGTTAAACTTAGAAAAACAACCTTTAATATCTTCACACAGTTTGGTTTTTTTTTCCCCATTATATAAGCTTTGTTTGGGTGAAAATGACAGCCTTAGGCCACCACCCTTGCAAAGAGACTGAGGATCTCTGAACAGTACAGCTTTCTCAAACCAAGTGGAGAAGAGCAGTGATTAAAATGATGAAAAATTAATGTCAAAGCAATAGTTTATTTCTAGGAACAGTATTAAAACCCAATATTGTCCTGCTTTATGTCAATAGCAGCACATCTACATGTATAAATATGAATTCCATGCTGCCATCTGGGAAATAAGTGTATCCTGAACCCTATAATGAAATTTGCTTTTGTTGGTGGATTGTGATCATTTCATCTAGGCCATATTTTATCTCAGTTGGGGTTGTTCTCCCCCCGCCTCCCAGTTTATTATTAAATCCATAGGGAGTTACACTGCCCAAGTAGGTTCTTTTCCTCTTTTATATTGCATTTGGAAATACGGTGGTAGAAAAATCACTATCAGATACAGTGCAATTACAGAAATACTACTTACCAAGGAAAGACAGATTATGTCCATCATTGTTTTTCCCTCTCCCCACCCCCTCCAATTCATTATGTGGCTCTGCTTCATCTGAAAGTGGGCAAATGGGGACGGGAGAGGGGTTGGAAGGTTTCTCCCTGTCTGTATAGTGCTGCTCTAAAATCAAAATTAATGAATTCAGTGGGCTTTGATACTGGCGACTGCTAGATCTGTACTTTCATATTAAAGGAGGTCTATAGTCTCGTTAACTTAAATTGCACTATTCATCTAACTCAATCTCTTCAGAGGAGAAAAAACAGAACATGTTTTTACAGTAAAGGAATAAAATACTTGATTCTTTCTGTAGTTTATCTTGCACAAAATACCCCCCCAACCCAAACCGAAACAAAAAACAACCTACATAAACACTTCCCCTCTCTACACTGAAATAGGAATCAAAAAGCTAAGTCCTTTTTTGGAAGCGAGATGAGATCCTCAGCTAATATAAACTTGTCGACTTGCACTGAACTTCAAGCTACATTCTTTCCAAACATATCTATTGCTGTGTCTTATCCAAATGTATATGCCTGCAAGGTCTCTGTTTTTTTAAGTATTACTTGATGTTTATATATGGGTTTTGAAGCACTAAGACAACAATTTGTGCACAACAGTTAGTGGGGAGATAGGCGATACGGAAGTGTTAAATGAGGCAGGCTATTCTTTTTCTTTGAGCTTGGCATGCTTTTTGTCATAGCAATGACAAATATGTTATTGTTTCTTCTGGGCCTGAATATGTAGCAACATATTCGGGGGGGGGAAGACATATTTAAAGGAAGGAAAAAGGAGTTAAGAGTAAGACACATTTACTGACAGTTAGGCCAGCTCGGGAGCAGGCACAGTTTCGGCAAATGGAGGTGGAGAGGGGACAGTATCAGGACTTTCTACTATGAACATGATTACAAGGACCTGAATCGATGCCATCTAGTATTATACATGAACGCCTGCTAAGAATATACCACTTACTACAGGGAAAGCTATATAAAGACATCATGAAACTTTTCCAAGTGAGAGGAAAATTAAAAACCATTGGGGAGAATCAGTCATTATCATGTGAAGGTAGAAGGAAGTTAAATTCTGGATTGTTTGTGTACATTTTTACCCCACAAGCTTTAAGAGACTCACTCCCCTTGAGTTAGCAGAAATCTTGTTATCTGCTTAGAGAGGGGGATTAACATTTCTGTGATAGGTATCACATCTCCGTCCTGGACAACAATAACAATTAAGAGATGGGGCCCTGCTGTGGGACTTTGATCCTAGCAGTGGGAGGAAAGTATGGTTTCACAGTTAGAATCCAGCAACAGTTGTACTCAGACAATCTTGACCCATTCCTTCCGAGATGCTCTGGTTTTGAACAGAAAATGAAGGGGTCTGCAGTAATCAACACCTGGGGGTTATTTATGCCTCTGCTTAAGTGACCATGGATGACTTGATCACTTGATGTATTTGTAAATGGTGAAATGTCACTTGTCTGAAAGTAAGGGTAGTGTCTGCGACCTTTGCAAGTACAAATCTGTCAAAGGTGTCTAGTTCGTCCTTTCTCTTACGTTCCATCCCTCGTATTTCTACGTCACCTGTAGGAGTATTGTTTTATCCCAGCCTTTTGGAAGAATATTCCCTGATTGGGTGGAGAATCAAAGCAGGCCGACCGGTACCGCAGTAAAAAAACCCCATCCCGACATACGGCAGCGCAGTCCAGAACACTGTGCATTCCTGAGCAGGATGCCAGCGCTTGGAATAACGTGCACTTGGCTTGACCCACAGATTGCTCAAAGACTGCTTTTGACTGGATTAGGTTTTGGATCAGGCTCCTTGTGACTAATTTTTGGCTTAAACATTAGGATTGGGGTTCATGGAAAATTAGGTTAGGGATCTGGACAGAAATTTGAAGACCAAAATCAGACATCATTATGTTTTGAAGACTGTCCCGGATTTAACAAACTAATCCAAGTCTTATGAACTCTTAGGAGACTTGACTGTGCAGGCTTGCAGAAGTTTTACATGGTCAAGGCAATGTCCTACAAATTCACACTTAGGGAAATCGAACCTATAGCTGTGCTTGTGTATCTTCTAGGGACAAGCGTTTGTTTTAAAATAATATTTCTCACTGAAATAGCACTCAAACTTATTTATGACTAGTTTCCTTCTTTGCAATAGGTTTTGAAGCAATCTTGCACTGAGATTTTATATTTGGAACCATCCAGTGTCTGTGTGGGAGGTAAGTTTCCATAATTTTAAAATAATATTCAATTGTTATAGGAGTGTGATTTTCCTATTTGACCTGAAGGAAAACCCCACAGGTTTCTAGAATAAAACATCCCTACCTAAAAAAAAAAAAAAAAAAAAAAAAGGGGTTTAAGAAAGATCAGATCCTTCTCCGTAGACTCATTTTTCTCCTCAGAGGAGCTGTCTTGCAGGGCCTACTTGCATACTTTAGGTAATGCATGTAAGAGTTTGAGACTTATGTATCTGCCCCTCTCCCTTTAGTCGTGCTCTGCACGTGCCCTCATATTCAGAGTAACGGTACTTACTCTGTAACACTGCCATACTGTTTTACCTGTGGTCACAGAGTTAAGTTCTGAGAATCCTGATAACATACATTCGTAGAAATTCATGACAATATTTCTAGTGCCATGCCCCAAATCAGTGGAGTGTAAGCAGTACAGCATTTGACTGCATTTTTGTGCAGCAAGTGGTAAAACATTTATTAAGTAGTATTGTTGTAAAAAATTTGAAGGGCTTATCTTCTTTCTGGGTTTCACAGTCCACACATATTGGGAGACTAGTCAAAATATGGTAGTTGCAAAAACTCCTTATTTTACTGTTTTTGCAAAAAGATGGATCATCTCAATGAAATCAGTGACCTTGGTAAACAAACTGTTTTCACTCCTCCTATGCACAATTCACAAATAGCATGGCCCTTAGTAAAACTTCCAGAGGAATAATACTAAGGAGAAATGTTTTCTTCATCTGGCACCTGATCCAGGTTTGGGGAGTCGTCTTGTTACGAGACCCAGATTTTTCATTTATCAGAGTATTCACCGAGAAACTGTTTTCTTACTGTGCACTGAGCCCCAGATCCTGTTGATAGTCAGAATTAACTCCCATTTTAATAGGGCTGCCTCAGTGGTAAAGATTTGGGAACAAATCTTTATTTCTCCTATAGTGACCTAACTGAAGAATGCAGTACCAGGGGTCAATTAAAAAGGAGACCTGAGTAAGTTTTAATCATTACTATGTTGTGCTTCATTTATTGCAGGCTGTATTGAAATTACTCTGTGTCTAACTTATTGCAATGCACTAAAGATTGGTGTTTTGGGGTTTTTCCTTTTCTCTGCAGAGGAGTTTCAAGTTGTTCTTAGGGGAAGTGGCTTAACCCTTGGTGGGAAGACCGACGGCGTTACTTGTACCTATCAAGTGAACGGAACTACAATTCGTAAGTATTGAAGTTCGAGATGATCTGCCTTTATGTTTCCTAATAAGTGATTTATTTTGCTTCTCGTTACCTCATTTAATTAAAATCAAAAGAGAAAAATATTGAAGAGGGGGGAAAACAGGAAAGCTCTGAGGATTAGGAAGAGCATGCAAGTTATTCCACATCTTGATCAGTGGTTTGAATTTACTACCAATTGCCATTAGCTGTGAACTGTGAGTGGTGTTTGACAGCCCGGCTGGCTGTGTGAATTAACATGGTGATAACTGTCTGGCTCCTGATGTTCAAGTAAGCAGATGTTTGCTGACAAAAAAAAAAAGTGACCACAGAGTGTACCGACCAAGTGCCCCTCCTTGTAAGAAAACCCAGGCCAACACATAGGCTCTCATCATGATTCCCAAAGGCACTATTTTCCAAGGTGCACTTACCTTGTTATCTTGGAGCATCTCTGCCCAATTCGTCTGCCGTACCAGATGTATAGCAATTGTGCTGTTTGCTTCAGGGGCTTGGCAGGGCATGGGTGCCCCTCCGTGACATGGAGTCAGTCCTCTTCCTGGAGCTCCTGCAACAGCATAGAATAAGGCCAAGTCAGAACAGCTGGTACTATTTTGGCCCTGGATTTTGACATGTTTCATCAACTCTGTGTCCCAAGCAGCTCTCTGCTGCAGGAGTGGGTCTCACTGCAACCAGATCTCTAGCTTGACTCTAGTTTCCTGACCTGTGGAACTGAATTCCGTTTCAGACAGAGTGACCATAGCATCTTGTACAGGCACCTTCCCTGTAGCTTTATCTGTGTTGTTTGTTTTTTTGGGGTTTTTGGGGGGGGGGGGGGGGGGGGGGGGGGCTGTGGTGCTGTTACCTCTTAAGTGTACAGGTAGGGGTGTTTTTTTGTTTTTATTAGTACTCCCCATTGGCCAGATGTTACAATCCTTTATTATTGTTTATTGTTATTCCTTTATCAAACTACAAGTGTCACTGGGGAAATTTTTCCGAGTGGAATGCTGCAGAAGTTAGAAAAGTTCTATAAGTAATTGAGAAGTAGCACAGACTGTTTTCTTCCTGCTCTCTGATTAAGTATGCTCATGGAGAATTTAATTTTCAGCAAAACATTCAGGACTCGGTCTTCTCTTGCTCAGGGCATTAACTTGCAGCAGGGGAGATGAGAAGTCATGCCGGAATTTGGATAAGTCTCCTTGTGCTGCTCTGTTCCCTGAACTGGCACAAGGTAGATGATGGTGGAAAAACTGCCATTAATGGAAACCTCTGCCATTTTTTGCATCCAGAAACTAGAGTGGACGGCTCGTATGAGTACATCCAACTTCTTGCTCTAAGCAGTATCCCTTAGAAGCCAGCCAGACTGGAAAATGACCAAAAACAGCCCTGTATAAAAAAAACCCAAACTCATTTTTTCCCTGCCTACTGTCTGATTTTTGTATTAGCCCGTCTTAAATTCCTACCCAATTGAACATGTGTTTCCAGTACATTTTCTTCCTTACTCTGGATATCATATATACTTGAGCAGGCTGCCAATCTCTCCTGCCTGTTAAATATCTAAAATCATTTGCAAGAAAAACAGAATAGCACAGTAGTTCTGGATAAAGGCAACCCATGTAAATAAATTCTGCTTGTATAAATTTCCCTTCAGTTTCCATTGAAATTGTCAGCTTTGTTCCCACATTAAACTATAGCTTGCTTATTTAAACTTGTTGCATACATTAGCCTCATAGAGCTAGTCTTTACAGCACGGCAAAATCGCTGCTGCAGTTGTGTATTTATCATGGTGTACCTTTCTTTCTTGGAGAAGTGGGGCAACAGACTAGTTCCAGGTGAATAAAATTAATTTCACACTATCTAGGGTAAATAGTTGAGACATCAGTTACATGACCTGAAGATCATTAGAACTTAAATTTCAATTTAAGTGGCTGGTTTGCAAGTCATCAGGACTCCTCAGTTCTATTCCTGCTTTGCTCCTGACTTCTTGTTTACTGTGAGCAGGCCCTTCTCTACAACCTAGTCTGTCCATTTGAGAAATTTAAGCAATTGCACATACCTTCTTCACACGAGTGTTTTGAGGCTTGCATCAATATGGTTATATTCGTAGTGCCGTTCGTACCATGCAAGATCTTCTGATGGAGAGTGCATTAACATACTGATGGAGATAAAGACCTATAGAATATGAGAGTTAAGGCAGGATTTAGCCATTTTCCATAAGCATCACAAACGTAAACGTCCTCTGTCCTGCTGGCAGGTGCTACTATCATACTAAAAGTTTTGGTATTATTTAGTAGCAATGCTAGCAGCATACACCAAATAGGCTTATGGGGCTTAACGATTGGCAGGTTGCGGTGCTGTTCCATTTCAGGGATGGGCTGTGCTGCCAACAATAGCTCCCAGGAACTTGGATTTTTATGTGCTCCATGCGACAAGTGGGGGATGAATCCACTGTGGAGAGTGTCCAGAGGAAGCTGGCAAGGATGGGCAGAAGTCCAGAACACAAGCTGTAGGGAAGGACAGGAAAGTTCAGTTTAGTACATGTACAGGAAAGGAAGAATGGCCAAAGTAGTTGTGAAGTATGGGCTGCTGAAAATAATGAGCTGGGCTCTCCCAATCCACTGAAAAGAGAACAGGAGGCAACAGGCTTCAATTTCTGCAGGAGGTCTAGCTGAGGTATTAGGAGAATGCTTCTCACTGTAAATATTTCTCAGGCCTGGAGTGGGTTATCTAGAAAGCCTTTTAACAGACGAGTGTCACTGAAGAATGTCTGAAGCATGTTGCCTTCTTTAAAGGATCTTCTGAAATGTTTTCTGACTCTGGTTTCTTCAGTTCTCTGATTGTTCAGTCTTTTATAGCTGTATGGCATGTCTAAGTCTGCTTTGCCATGGTAGAAATAACTATACTTCGACAGGATGAAGCCCCTAAATACTTGCTAGCATCTGATGTGAGAATTTCCCATTAGAACTCTGGGCTGCTGCTTTTTTTTTTTTTTTTTTCCCCTTGGCTTCAGGAAAGGGTGCACTAAAGCACACAAAGGGAGGGGAACAGCACAGTGATGTATTTATTAAACATTGCAGCGTCAAAGCACAGTCTGCTGTATGGGGTCTCACCAGAGGCCTGCTAAAACTCACGCAGGTTCTTGTCTTCAGCAACGGACAACAGTGAATGTTTAGGGAGTGATACAGGAAGGAAATCGGGAAATTTTATGTGATCCGTCCCCCAATACGCAAGCTCATTCTCTACAGCTCTGCGCTGGGCTCCAAGCGCTTTTGTCTCAGAGGAAACCTAAAAGAGGACAGCAGAGCTAGGATGGACAGACGGATAGAAAGGGTGCTTTGAGCAGTAGCAGGAAGGAGGTGGTCCCAAGAAAAGGAAAATTGTTCCTGTGTCATTGCATTGTCTACGAAAATCTGGCAGTCCCTCAGCGGAACCCTCACCGTTTGAAGGCATAACGGAGGGTACTTGCATGAGGATGTACTTCCGAGTTCCCCTTACTGATAGCCTGGGCTCCGCTTTGGGACCAGCCTCGGAGCAAACCGTTATTTTGTCAGTTGTTCTGGTTTTCAAAGATGCATTTGGCGTATTTCTCTTTTTGCATTTATAAAGAACCATTACCAAATGCTAGAAAGGAAACCTGCCAAATGTAGCTGTGGGATAGAAAAATAATCTATGAAACATACCATTAAGACAAAAACATATGGCTATGTGCTAATCCCTCTTCCCCACCTCACAACTAGCCCCAAATCTAGGCCAAGCAGTCAGTGCAGATTATAGCACACAAGAAAAGCTCATTTATGCTAACAGCTCCTCCTTCAGCTGCCCCTGAACTACTTGTGTGTCTGCCAGTTCCATAAATGCAGGACAGAGTAATCTCCCAGTTTATCTGGCAGATCTTTTATCTGCTCTCACCCCTAAATCAGGAAATAGTCCACGCTTGTAGGAGCGGCTCCAGTACAGAAATTAACAGTCCTACCGTGGGGAGGTTTGAGATGGGTCTGCACGCAGGAGCAGAATTTCTCCAAGCTTACCAAACGCATGAGGTAAAAGAGCTCCCTCCTTGCCTTTTCACAACTGCGCAAGAGGAGCGCTGTCCTGGACACGGCGCTCTACACGTAGGTGCTTTATAAGTTTAAGAGATCTGCAAACAGCTAGAGACTCAAAAGCATGAGAAACACTGGAGAAGTAGACACTCCCATCACAACTGATAAAATAGTCCTTGAATGCAATGCGCAGAGTTGGAGCCGATTAGAAACAAACCTTCATTTTTCCAAATATTAGGAAACCCCTAATAATGTTCTCACTCTTTGCAGAAATGGTCTTGATTCTAGGAAATTTTCTCTCTGGAAGAGCATGAGCTGACTTGAATAAAATAAAGCAATGTAATGTGGGCTCACACTCGCATTTAAAGCCAACTCTGGGTTTTTATTTTCAAGGTGCACCTTTCAAAAAGCAGCAGCTTTATTCCCTACCTTAGGCCTGCCTTGCTAATCATTACCAAACCAGTAACCAGCATATTTTGAGAAGGGAAGGGACTTTATAGCATGTTTACACATCAGCTTCTCATTTAAGCAGCACAGTATATTAAGCTCATGTGATTTGTTTTTTCAGATGAAAAACCAAAAACGGTGGAATCTGATTTTTTACTCTGCCCTGCACCAATCCTGTACAAAAGCGGCCAGTAAGTACTTGAAACAAATGTCATCCTGTGTTTCGCTACAATTGGACCCATTATTGCTGATGTTAATCATGAGAGGTTTTGGCTAGAGGCAGTCTTTTGTTGTTTTTATGGGGGGTGGTTTGTTGTTGCATTTTTTCCCCCCCCCCGTTCTTGTGTTATTTCCCTGGTGTATTTGTCAGCTTTGGAATGGGCTTTAAATAGTCATCTGTGACCAAACCAATTTGGACAGTGCCTTAAAAATGAATATTCAGCCAGTTTATTAAACACTGAAAAGGTCTGGCTTGTCATAAGTTTTATGCAGATTAGCTGTTTTAACAGGGCATAATATGCTCTCTTCTAGATAATCTTTAGGCTCATTGTTAAATAGATTACATTATCACTGACACTTACAAGCTATTATTAAAATTATGTGTCAAGATGTGTACCACTGCTCCACATGTGATGATGAAACGAGGCACTCATTTAACAGCAGCAGCAATCTCACAACAGCACTGTGGCTGAACTGCAGTCCTAGCCTTATTCTAAGTGTCACTGGCCACGGCTGCGCATTACTTCTGGCCCTTTGAGAACTAATCCTTCCCTCCTCCTCTCAAATTCAGACATGCCCTAGGCTTTTAAGAACTTCAACTTCATTGTTCAGATTTGTGAAATTCTAAGCTAGTCAGAAGTCAGCAAACTGCCTGTCAGATCTCGGCCCTGTAGGAGGGCAAAGGCTTTCAGGCTGTTGACTTTCTCCCTGTTTTGCAAGTAGTTCTTCTCAGAGAGTTATTAGGGATGAGGTTAATATTAATCCAGTAGCAAGCACAGCATTTCGTTACAGCTCTGCACTGTCATTTACCTGTGGCAATTCTTAGCAGTTTAAGAACTAAGCATATTGCAGAGATGATTTCCAGTAGTTACTTTTCCGAGTTAAGCAACAATCCACCGCCTCAGTTGTGCTGTAAGACCGACAGGAAAACCCCAAATACACATCTGTTTTTTGCATTAAATGGCAACCAGGAGGAGAAAAGTTGGAAAGCGGTAGAAGAAGAAAACCTCCAGCCATTAACCCCAGCGGAAGAGAGTGGGGTGAATCACTGCAGCAGAGCTGCATCGTAGCCTCTGTGCAGCAGCCAGAGCTCCCCTCTGGGGAGCGAGCAGTGGTTTACGGTAATGCAAGGCAAACAAGCTTGGAGGAGAGTTACTTGGAGAGCACAGGAAGGGGATGAGTTTTTAACGCCGTTACGTTTTTCTCGTACTCAAGCTGCCTTTTACATAGGTATGCGCGATGTTGATCTTGTCCTACGTGCAGCAGGAGTTGGTGAGACCTATGTGCCTTTATATTAAACAGTGCAGCGGCACCGTTTCCCGTTGAGCTAGGCTGCATGTGGTTGTGTGCCAACTGTACAACAAAACAGCTGTAACAAACTGCTGTCTTCGCTAAAACAAATCAGCACCATGTGCAGCTGTAAGAGAACTAATTTTGTCATCAGAACCATGTAAATCAGTCAGGTTAAGAACCCCCTCCTCTCCATGCCAAGTATTTCAGTGGAGATACCTTACCCCGGAACAGCAGCAGCAAGTTAGGCCCCCAGTATTAAACACCCCAAGACCTGAAGCTGTAAATGCTTTTACTCACACTGTTAGTCTGAGAGCATCTAAACAGCCTATCCTGCCAATTGCATGTGAAATGCAGGGAATATTTATATAGATTAAAGCACAGGGGAAGTTATTTGAACATGCTGCATTTTTTTCTTACCCTGTGAAGAGCTTGTTTGGCCTGTGAAGCATTATTGAAACAGACAACATACTGTAATTGCAGCGTAGATCAAGGACCTATTTACAGCACATTTCTTCCCAGCAGTGTTCGTAAGAAAGAATGCGTGAACAGTACACATGAAGTTGCACAGGTTCACAGGAAAAGAATTTTTTTCAAAAGTTACCGTGTGAAATATACTTCCATAACCTGATATTGAATAGCTACAGCTTTGGCCCAGAGATAAACAGTTTGCTATGCAGGAGACCGACAGCTATGAAAGATATGTACATACTTGAACTCTTGACTTCGCATTGGCACTGCTCAGACTACTGCTGGATAACTCCCAGTAATTCCTCATGTAGTGGAGCTAATATTAGTCGTTAATGTAGCAACAACTGGTCTGCTCTTTTCCTAGTGCTCTTTTTAGTGGAATTAAGAGCAACGCAAGCAGACAAAGCTAGCTTTGTGACTTTTAAACCTGCAGCTGCGTTTCAGGGTAAACGGTAAAGACTCACTTAACAGCTTTCATTATGTTTTTCTAATTGGAGACACTTCTTGTTGACTGAAGAATTTGCAGTTTTCACATGCAGAACAATAGAAGCTCACGTGGAATAGATAAAATGCCAAAGGACCCAAGATGTTGGGCTGGTAAACCCCTGGTCTCCTGGACTTACGCCATTGTGTATTTCTACTTTCTTTCCAGCTGCTGGCTGCATTTAGTTAGGAGCCTCCAAAACATATTAGCTATAGATTTAACCAACCGTTCTTTTCTAAGCCTAGTTTTTCACAGTACCATGTAGCAGATGGATGTGGTATCCTTAGGTTATGTGACAACATGACTGTGCTGCTTGTGCCATTTAAAATTCCTTCTTGTCGTGCCACTTCTGAAGTGCAAAATTGCATAGTCTGCTTACAAAACCAGCTCTTTTTACAAGACCCCTGATTAGCTAACAGATGAGAGTAACTTGGGATGTCTATGAGCAACCTATGCATTATAAAAAATGATAGAAAGTATTGAAGTAATCCAGAAGGTGAAAGTATCACATACACTCTGCAGGAAGATGAGGAGGAGACAAATCCAAGTTGAATTGCTTTGCTTCGTGTACTTTGAGAGATCACTTATATACTGTGAGGGCAAGCGTAACATTACAGCTAAGCTGGTTTACTGAAGAGGACTCAGATTCTACTGCATTGACCATTTAAAAGCCTTACATTTTTAGGGTCTTGCAGAGTATTTGAGAAAAATCAGTTCCCCTTTTTTGCTCAGGCTTGAATTTGCTGTCCTGCCACAACTCAAGGGAATCAAAGAGAGTCAGACATTTCTTTGACCTCTCTGTTACTTTAGATGTTTCTGTACTCATTGTACTCTGGAAAGAAAACAGAGCCTTTGTCTCTTTGGAAGACCAATACACGAAAAACTGGTGTATTTTTGTAAGTCTACGTTCTTGCACTACCTTCGCTTTTGTTCTCCTCGTTGTGCTCTAATTTCTTTGACAATGCATTCAGAAAATATATCTGCAGGCTCGACTTCGCAAACAGATGGCTCCTGTTCCTCTGAGCCAGTGGTAAAATCCCCCCTTCAATGAAAGGACTATCCAAACAATATAAATTTCTCTTACATCCTGACCATTTCCAAATTCTCTTTTATTTTATGAGTGGATGACAAGAATAAAAGTTTAAAGTAGCACACAATACAATATTTGACTGAAATATCTGTAGCGAATATTTACATGTCTACTACTTAACTACCTCAGTTTGTTTGAACTCTGGTGTCTCATTGGAGTATTACGGTAAGAGATTTTGGATTAGCTGGTGCCTACTGAAAAAAATCCAATTTGGTCTCATGCAGATACTTATCTAAGCAAAGCAAGAAAGGTTAGGTCTAGGCTAGGCAATGAATTATTGAAAATAAACCAACAGGCTGAGAAATTATCACTGTTCTTAAAATAGTTCAGAGAACTACCGAAGTTTATTTTTTAATGCAGCTGCAGCGTTGCTGGCTAGCTTCCACCTTTATGCATCCGGCACTTCAATTCATACAGTGTTTGCTCTAAGATTAGCTCAAAGTGAAGTGAGCATTTACACCTCAGTCCACCAAGATACATAAGCTTCTTATAGCTTGAAACACATTGACTAAGTCTGTCTGAGCACATGTACAAGGAGCTGGTTATGTGTAACAGAACACGAACAGAAAGGCAAACGTCAGGTTAAGTTGGATCACTGCTTTCATTTAAGTATCACGTGGTTTCCATCTCTCAGTTGAGTGACATTTTGACACTGTTGCGGTCAGTGGCACTTCACCTATCTGAGGGGTGTCCTAGGACAGAAGTGGGCATTATCTTTCTCTTTGGGCTTGTAAGTTTAAGGAATAACAAAGCCAGAAAAGGACAAATCCGAATGTAAACTTGAGTGCAAGTGAAACCTTGCCCACGGTTGCCTTGAATTTATGATCAGATCACATGCAGAGATGCATGTGAGTGCAGGTCTGCGCTACTGTTTTTTAATGACCTTATCTGCCCTCTATTCAAATCATGTTGGTTTCAGCCTGCGTCTATCCCTTCCTACATCCTGTCCAACATGAACAGCTGGTGGCACTTAGAGAGCAAAGATTAAATAGGAATTATTTTTTGTGCAGTAGGCAGGAAAATTACTACACTTGTATTCCCAAATTCTTAGTTACCTCCAGTTTCAAAGTAGCTGACTTAAGTTTAGTCTCCAGTCTGCAGTTCACTTGAAACAAAGCGCACAACAACGCATGAGATAATCTGTTAGCAGTCACCATTTTTTTTTTTTTTAATGTATTGCTAGTAGTAAGAGCTCTTGGCAACAGCACAAGTTCACAAGTTTAGTGGTAACTTTAAATGTACTTCCTATCCAGACATTCAGATAATGAGTTACTGAGGGAGAAGTTAACCTTATTGAGCAAGTCTCACAAGAGTCCAAATGTAATTGGAGAATAAATAGCTCAGACTCTTACAACTGTAAGAAAAAGTAAGAACTTTTGTTCTAGAGAGAGCACATAGTGGGAAATGGTCTCTAGGACTAAGCACATTGCTTTACGTTTCTGAGCTGCAAATGCTACCTTGAGACATGCTTTTATTTGGCTATTAACCACATTTCTCACAGGAGGAGCCTGTGTCATTCAAGTCTTTGTTCTTCCTGTTGACAACAGCTGCTTTGCTTGTTTTGCACTCATTTGTGAATGGGAAGGCAGCTCAGGGAATTCAGAAACACGAACAGCATTGTGTCATTTCTGCACTGT